TTGTGTTTTTAGTACAGTCTCAGATATAAAGATAGTGTCAGAAAAAAAAAAGTCAAATAGATTTTCCAAACGAAGTATATTCTAAATGCTTTGCTTAGATTACCTGAATAAACATCTTAACTGAAAACACAGTTCTGGAATTTTAACTCAATTGTGTAGCTATCTACTCAAAAAAAGCTCTCCAGCCTCATTTCATATACCTAATTATTTTTTTTTCTCTTGAATCTCCATTCTTTAAATAAATTAAAAGAAGCAAGGAATCCTAAAAGACCATAAAATATAATGTATCTGAATATTATTTATCTAAAAATAGTAGCTAAGGTAGTTCTTTTTTATAAACTAGGAATTCCCCGTTATTTCTCCTTCAAGTAGATGCCATGAAAGTAAATGAAATTTAACAAAATACATAGTGCAAGACATAATATTACAGCACAGGATTGCTTTAGATTTGTAAGCAATAAAATTTAAGTAAATGCCTGCATGTTAAGTCTTAAATCAATTTAACAATTTCTGTGAAGTCTTGATATAAAAAAACACAGGGGATATATGTGCAAATAATACTTGGCAGCAACCTCATCTGTATACGAAACATGAATGAGGCCAGAAGTTCACCTAAGGTCTATTCAGTCATGTGTAATTGATGTCACAGATGAATTTTTTACCTACACTTACCTAAGTTTAGCTGGACATAAGTAATGAATAAGAATTTTGAGGGTTTTTTTGTTAATTTGCCAGTTAAACAGATTTTGGTTTACTCAAGCCAATTAAGTTCTGTCAGTCATAGCCAAAACTTACTTTCTAATTACTTCAAACACCGCAACAGATTATTTCACCATTTTTAGTTGCTAAATATATGCATTTTATATTGTTAATACAAATGCAAGACACATTTAAGATAAGACATCCTCATTCCCCTTATAATTTAATGTACTTTTGATTTTAGTACTCCTTATGTTATTCTTTTTTATGAGTAATTTAAAGCTCATACCATAAATGTGGTGGCCAACAAGAAGAGGGAGGTGATTGTCCCTATCTACTTGGCTCTTGTGAGGCCCCATCTGGAGTACTTCATCCAGGCCTGGGGCCCCTTATGCAGAAAGGATGTGGAGTTCTTGGAAAAAGGGTCCAGAGGAGGGCCACTAAGGTGATCAGAGGGCTGGAGCACCTCTCGTATGAGGAAAGGTTGAGGGAACTGGGATTGTTTAGCTTGGAGAAGAGAAGGCTCCAGGGAGACCTCACTGCGGCTTTCCAGTACTTGAAGGGAGCATATTAACAGAGAGGGGAACAACTGTTTATGAGGGTGGATAGGGATAGGACAAGGGGGAATAGTTTTAAACTGAGACAGGGGAGGTTTAGGTTAGATATTAGGAGGAAGATTTTTACACAGAGAGTAGTGATGCACTGGAACAGGTTGACAAAGGAGATTGTGGATGTCCCCTTCCTGAAGGCATTCAGGGCCAGGCTGGATGGGGCTCTGGGCAGCCTGGTCTGGTGGCTGATGACCCTGCACGTAGCAGGGGGTTTGAAACTGGATGATCATTGTGGTCCATTTCAATTCAAGCCATTCTATGATTCTATGTTCAGAGCAACCTATATATAAATATCACTTTATTGCTTTCTGAATTTATACCCATCTGTTTCAGGAGACTTCGGTGTAGTTAGTTCAGCTCAGCCTTCTTTCTAAAAGATGGCTTCATACAAATACATTCTTTTAAGGGCTTTTCAGTACATTTTGATTGGTCTTTGCCTCATGTTGTGACCTTAGTAACAGTGCCTACAATGTAAGAAGCTAGCAAGAGATATGAAAGACACATTCTGTAAAGCAACTGCATGGAATTCTTCTCAATATTATAATATTGCACTTTTCTTCTTCCCTATTTTTAAACCATGAAAACTTACTCTTAGTTGCTCATAGAAATGTTTGAGTGAAGGAGAAAAAATGGACTACTGACTGTAGTAATGTCATTAACATGATTTCTAATGTCAAATTTTGGCAAGTCTTTTTGTTGATCAGATGATCAATTCCAGTGTATAAGTTTTTGAGTTGGAACAATGGAGTTGATACACTTAAATGAATGCAAAAACTCTGCAATAGAGAACAGACTCAGTATTTAGCGCTGAGCTGGAAAGCAGTTAACTGCACACTATTATCTACATACCCACTATTAGGCAAGTGTAGCGGAATTCCAGGGTCACAGCCTGGATCAATACGTGAGCACGTAACTGCCTGGAGCTGGGAGGCGTGTGCAATTTAAGTCTGCACGGGTGCCCCTTCCTTGCACCCTCTCCTGCTGTGATGAGAGTCTGAACAGGAGGAGACTGCATTCTTCAGTTCACCCCTTTTTCCTAACTGTTACTGGGAGGAGTGAGTTAATTTCTCTTTAACATCTTTTCCTATAGCACCTGTTTCTCCAATAAAGGCACTGTTATCGTCTTTGCTCTACAGCAAGTTAAGACATTTCACCTGCATTGTCATAAGTTCTTGTTGCAGTATGGGTTCCACCAATGAAGCAGGCAGAAATGACTTCCAAGCTACTTTGCATCGTCTATCAGTAGTCCTGGTTACTTGAGGAGGTCTCAGACAACTGAGAACTTATTAAAATGACACCCATTGACAGGAAGAATCAGAGGGAGAATCTGGACAGTTATAAGCCTGTCAACCTGACCTGAATACTGGGGAAGGTCATGGGGCAGATTGTCTTGAGTTCAATCATATGGCATGGATAGGACAACCAGCGGATCCAGCCTAGCTAACATAAGTTCCTGAAAATCAGGTTCTACTTGACCAACCTCATCTCCTTCTATGACCAAGTGACACAACTAATGGATAACTGTAAGGCTGGAAGCATATGTCTTACGAAGAGCAGCAAGGGCACTGGGACATTTTAGTCTGTAGAAGAGGGTGCTCAGGAGAGACTTTATTGCTCTCTACAACTGCCTGAAAGGAGGTTGTGGCGAGGACAAGAGTTTCTTGAGTTGTGCAAGGGGAAGCTGAGATTGAATATTAGGAGAAATTTCTTATCAGAAATAGTAGTAAAGGATTGGAAATGTCTGCTCAGGAGTCGCCAACCCTGGAGATTTTCAAGAAAATTATAAATGTGGCTCTGAGGGACATGGTTTAGTAGGCATGGTGGTGATGGGTTGATTCTTGGACTAGATGGGCTTGGAAGTCTTTTCTAGCCTTAATGATTCTGTGAATCTACGAGTCTAACTTTGGATCTGAGCAGTAGAGATCGTTTTCATGTCTATCCATATGTCACGTTTGAAACATGCACTCCAATGAGGAGTATTAATTTGCAGATTATTTTATCTACATCGTATTTTTAATATGATAGCTGCAAAACACAAATCTCAGGAAGGGAAGGAAGAAGCTAGCTAACCAGGAACATAGGACATAAGAGCTAATAGAGATCTTCCACGACTTAGAATGTGCCTTAAATAAGTGGAAATAGTGGAAATTTCATTTTAATCTCCTTTGTATTTATCTCTGTCTATCTTTGGACATTTGTCTCCTCCTCCTAACAAGAAAATATATATGATTGTATTAGGATGGAAAGCCTCAAAGAACTGTAAGACCTTGGAAAAATCTATGATTACAAGATGAGACTACTGGACATTGAATAATTTTCATAAGTGAAAAATGGGTGGAACAGTTTAGCGGACTTAGAAGTCATCCCCTATCATCCAGGAAAAGTTCAGGCTTCTCATAATCAAATTGGATTAATATTTGTTGAATGCCCTTATATCTGAAGTGATAAAAGGTATTGAATAAGCATTTGTTTGATTTAATAAGTAACTCATCAGTGGATTATAACAGTTGAGGTTCTGTTCCATCATTAATTAGTATCTGTTTTACAGATTTGAGCCTAGTATTTAATATTATTGCTAGTGTGGTGATGTGCATTCTAAATTTGTTAATAAGTAGAAATATTCAAGATGACAAAGAAAAGTGACATTTGGAAAACCAAAATATGCAGTTAAAATCTGAAGTGTAGTTTGTAGATAATTTTTTCTAGCTAAGCAGCAGAAAAGAGATCTTAGGATTCATGGGTCCTGCTATTTATTCTTATCACTAAACCACTGTATGTTGAACATATCATGAAGCACATGATTTCTGATTCTTTTGAACAAAAAAATGGCAGTCAGTTTCAGGTTTCAGATAGAAGACTTTTTTATGAATCCCTTCCCACGTGTTTCTGCAGCACGGTTGCTATTGAAAAGCTATATATATATATAAAGCTTTATATATATATAAAAGATATTTTGTAGAATTCAGTATTTCTAAAGTGTTCAGTGATCTTAAGAACTATGAGAGAAATGAGAGAAAAATAAATATTAGTAAATAAAAAGTCAACATGTTTATTTATGGTATACTGTTACAAGTGCTAGTATACTGAATAATCTGTATTTCAGAGTTATCAGAAAAAATTAAATAGATAGTATAAATTAATTCCAATGATTGGGATATTTTAAGCTTTGAATTTTTTATTAGCAGCTTTTAGATAATCACATCATATGACTTAGTTTTATTGCATCATACAGAAAATAAGAAAGTACATTTTAAATTTATATGGATGACAAAAACATTATTCATTGACTAACTTCATGTATGTATATATGAAAAGAAGGTATGCATATATCTGTCTTCAGAAAAAAAAAAGCACATATTATTCTATTATACTTATATTTTTATTTATTTATATATTTACCTTGAATAAAAAAATATCAGACACTGAAAAATAATTTAATTGTCCTGTGTTTGTAGTACAGGTAATATATTTGCTAAATAGTATTTTAACAAGGAAAATTTTGCAATTTCAGAACCACTTAGTGGTACTGACATGACCTGATGTAATGTAGATTAACTGCTCTTTTGTAGTTGCATTAAATATATTAGGTGCATTAAATTTTCTCATTACATTGATAATAAGTTACCTTACACGCATCTTTCTTTTAATGCTTTTTCTCTCTTTTTTTTTTCCCTTTCCTTTTTTGTAAAGCTGCTTAAGGAGATAGCTAGGAAACGCAGAAGCATTCGTTTTGGGAGGGAAGCTGAATTAAAGCCGTATATTGCAGCTCACTTTGAAGTTCTTCCTACGGAGTTCACACTGGGGGATAAGAAGCATTATGGTGGCTTTGAGAATAAACAACTGCAAACTGGTCAAGAATATGTCTTCTTTGTGTTGGCTGTAATGGAGCACTCAGAATCTGTAAGTTAATAACTAATTTCAGTCCCAAAATTACTTTCCCCAATCAGTAACACATTTCTTCAGTGCTTACTTGAGTTTTTAAGGTGTATGTCTAAAGTTGATGTTTATGTGCTGATTTCCAGTTAAGTCTTTGAATTTGATTATGTTGTATGCACCTTGGTGTGTTACTTCAGTGTGTAACCGAAAGCTAAGGATCACCTTTTATTAGCTGTGCTTTAATTCTTTTCAAATTAAATGTTCTGCTGTTTGAGTTCACTGGCACTGGTTCTGAGGCATGAACTTTACAGCTGTATCTTTTTCAGTGTCTTTGAGAAAGAGTTCCTTAGCTGACCTAGGACTACAATCAAATAATGTTATTGGATATGTAGGATTCTTTGAAAGATAAGTTGAACTGGAGATATGCACAACTACTGTTTTTAATTACAGTAATTTCCTAACAGCTTTATCAGTCAATTGCTAGAAAGTAAGAAAATAATTCAAGGAAAAATTCTGAGGAGAGCTGAATAATGAGCTGTCACCTCTCTTCATGTAATTTGTTTTGTACTTATTTCCATTTATGCTTGAGTTAATATGTGTGTGATATATGGGAAAATAAAGAGAGAGACAGTGAGAGGAAGAGAGAGGGGAGAGGAGAAGGGAGAGAAAATGAGGAAGAAAAAGCAAGGAAAAAAAGTACATGAAGAGAGCAGAAGGAGACAAAGAAAAACAGAACTGTTTCAATGATCAGTAAGATTTTAGTGTACACTGGTCTCTGTACACTGGATTTTAGTGTAACATGGTCTCTTTCTAATTGGTTCCTACATCTGATGTACATTTTCTGGCTCAGTCACTTGAACTACCATGCTAGTAATCTGAATTCTAGTCAAATGCTTCCAGAGTGCAATCTTGCAATTGCTATTTGATGTTGAGTTTACCGAATTGCACACTATGAAGAAGTTGTTTCAATTTGTATACTTTTGGATACATCGCTTTATTTGAAAATAAAATAAGTATCCCCTGGATGTTCTGATGTAAATCAAAGGTTTTCCTTTGATTTAACATTATTTTTGACAGAGGTTGTTAGACAGAAAATTCTTATGATGCTGCATCAAGTAGGTTGTAAACAGAGTTACTATGCAGCTTTTCTCTGTGAGGTTTAATGGCAACACAAAATCCAGTTTAAATATTGAAAAATTGTCAATAAATGCTCAAACCGCAGTCCCTCTGAAGCCTTTTTTCTGCCTGCTCCAAATGTAGAGGCTAAATGCAAAGTATTTCTTAATGTAGCAATATAGGATGTGGGTTTTTTTTTTTTTTGTTTGTTTTTATTTTCTTTTGTTGTTGTTGTTTTCTGTTTTGGGTTTTTTTGTTTTGTTTTGTTTTGTTTTGTTTTATGTTTTGAGAACACTGAGGCAGAGTAAAGGTCTCAACCAGCTCAGCTTTGGAGGGAATAAAACATACAGATTCCCTAGTTTCTGGAAAGAAGTCACTGGCCTGTGATGTCTGGTGTCACGTTTGGCAAAAGAGAATAAATGAACGTTGTTATCCTGTTTACCAGCTAGCATAAGTGTCTCTGCTTTGCTGGTGTTAGCCATCTCTCATGTTGAACTCAGATGCTCTTTAGCTGTAGTAGCAGGAAACAAGGCCAAATGGAAGGTAAAATACATCTCTTTTCATAACCTTTCAGAATACTGCTGCAGAGTGTTATGTGAATGCTGTTACCTCATTTTTTAGCACACCATATGCAAAACACAAAATAAAGATGTAATAACAACACAGCAAGTTTGTGAACTTCCTAGCTTGAATAAAAATAGCAGCTTTTCATTGCATTATTACTTTGTGTATGTTTACTTTAGAGCTAGTATTTTAAATGAATGCCTTTATTGTTAAGAAGGATTTATTTATTTGTATAGACTATGTATGCAACCAGTCCATATTCTGATCCAGTTGTGTCCATGGATCTCGATCCCCAACCAATTACAGATGAGGAAGAAGGCCTGATCTGGGTTGTGGGACCAGTTCTTGCAGTGGTATTTATCATCTGTATTGTTATAGCGATACTTCTTTATAAAAGGTAAGTTTACCTTTTAGTTATCTTACCATGTGTGTACCTTTCTGCTCTGTTGATTATTTTATTGTAGTACTCCACACTACATTATTTGTACTACAATTGTAACTATCACTATCTCAAGATATAACTATATTTATTAATGGGTCCCAGAACACTGCAGATATTTTGGATTTCTGATTGAAAGTTTCCAATAGTTACAGCTATGTGAGAATATTTTTTTTCTGCCAATGACAACTTATTACCATTTCTGCATTTAAATTTTACTTCAATTTTGCATGTTTGTAAGGAAAATGTGTTCTCGCATATAAATAAATACAGATTCACACATTTGACTTTTTAAAACATAATTTTAGAAATGTGATAGTAATCCATTAGGGGTTACATTCAGGATGATGTTAAGTATGATTTGCATCTCTACTCAAGTAATTTGAATTTTAACTTCTGACAGTTGACCATAATTTGGCAGTACATGTTATGAATTTGAATCTCTGAACTGAGATTAGAGAAACATCAATAGCTGTTTTCTACTAGAGCTACAGTCAGATCAAACTTCACTTCTTCCACTGTGCATAGCACAGGTAGTTTGCTATTATCAAAGGACTTCCTGTGAGCTTAGAATTTACTACATGAAAACTGCATGATACCTTAATTTTATACTTAGCAATGTCTTACAGTGTGAGTGCAAACAGATAAAGATAGTAAATGAAAAGGACAAAGTAGATTTTAATATTTATATATTGTTCCTAGCACATTTTTAAAAAATACTGATAGGGCAGAGTTTGGGAAATACTAAAAAGATGTCATAACCTTGTCTTTGATGGGTGGTGGGGTGCATGGGGGTTAATTTCCATAGGTGCAGTAAGTCTCCTAAATCTAATGGCTATAGTGACTGAAATGAATGACTTCTTATAAATATTTAAATTCTGCTAACATGTATGGTTTTCCAATCTAAGCGTGTCGTGTCAAATGCTCTGAATTTGCATATAGAGTGCTGGCTTCAGGTTTTCAAAGGGAAAATTCTCCTTTAAGCATTAAATAAACAAACAAATTAAAAGCAGTCCAGTGGCAAAAATTTCTTTTTTTATTAGAAGATCCTTTAGATTTTTATTAATGAAGACAGTCTAACCATGAGATATGAAATTCTGAAGTGAAATATAAGGAAAACATTGACATGCTAACAAATATGAATTGCTTCATTTAGCAGAAGGAATGGATAGAGTAAATAAGAACATAGATTTATTTATTTTTTTTTTTTTTAAGTGTATCTAAAATCTACATCAGAGTTTTGCGGGGAGACTGGTTGAGTGGCATGCAATAATGTTTCAATGCAGGAATAGCACTTCACAGGGGAGATTTAGCATTTGATCTAGAGAAGATAGCCTTATGAAAATAATTAAAGAATTTTTTTATTAAATAAATGACAAAATAGTCACAACATTTGAAGTTTTCATTAGATTAAACAAGAAATATTTTATTTTTAATTACAAGTGAGTCTTTATAATGCTTCAGTATAACAAGACATATGAATCATTAAGCTGAAAACAATACTAAAGTAAATTAAGCTGGTAGATTATTTTTTTAAAAATTCATATCAGATTTTTCGGATGTTAAAATACTTAGCGAGATATTTCTTATCAGGTTTATAAAAATCAACACATTTTAACTTTTTTTTTTTTTTTTTAAAGAAAAAAATTGTGGAAAGGGAGAATGACCAAAGTCCCATGTAATAAGTCTAAGGGATAGAAAGGAAAACAAAGGACAATAGGTCTAATTGATTAAATTGTCTGAAAAATATTTAAAGAGGTATGGTAGTGTGAAGAAGATGATGTCTTTTGAAGTGCAAAGAGTTGTAACTAAAATAATAGTGAATTGTGTTTAATTTCCTTTGCCTGTAGAAGCCATTCTGAGAAGACTTGGAACTATTTTGTGATTTTCAATATTGTTTTCTCATTTTAATTTTAGTCAGAGAGTAATACTGACTGAAAAAAAAATTAGAAAAAGAATCATTTTAAGGGGAAAGTCTTGCATTCATCTAAAGCAAATGGTATCTCACATAATGTGAATAATTTGCCTACTTACTGTGAAGCAAATTTTAGATGCCCAAAGACTAGGAGTGCATGAATGAAGTCTTTATTATTTATTTGTCAGCGTGTAAAAAAGTTACTTCTGTATTTACACTTCCTCAAAGCTCAAAGAGAAGATATTGCTTAGAATAATTCTTGGATCACGTATCACAATAAAGCCAAGTGTTCATGGCAACTTAATGCTTTACAGCAATAGATGGAGAAATCACTGAAGAATATATTTTGTTCTCATTGGATGTAGCTGCAATATAATATACAACATGACAGCAGCTGATTCATGTTCTGTGTGCAGAAATGCTCACAGATTCACAAAACCATAGGGCCATACCCCTCAAGACAGTCCATGGCCACCCCTCAGCTACAGCATTTTTTGCAGAAGCTTTTCCAAGAGAGTTTCAGTATCTCAAAAGATGGAAATTCCTTAAACTCTGTGAGTAACCTGTTCTATTGTTTGACTAATCTCTAAGTAAAAGAAAAGCTTTTTATCAAGTTGTCATCTAATTTCCCATCTTTCTGGAGTTGATATATCTACAAATTGAACTGGCTTGACCAGAGAAAAGCTTAATATTCTCTGGCATTGCAAGAATGGTACAATTAGGTGAGAAAATTATTTGAGGGTATGTCTTTAATCTGTTAGCCTTAAATCCAAGCAGTCAGATTTAAGAATCTATGTAAATTAACTAATAGTTTTCCTTTTGGTCATATTGTTGCTCTCAAAAAAATATGTTTTTTTGCTCGTTCAAACATGGAGTAAAAATACAAAATAATAAGGTTTATACACAAAATCTCAAACAAAAGAGAATGCTTAATTGACGTAGATGTAGAGATGGTGTAGACTAAGATGTCTAGAAGCACTACATGCTTGTTACAAGGACTGTTATTTGAGATGAAGAATCCCAAGCTCATTTTGATAAAGCTCTCCACTGCTGCACCATATAGCAGAATAGCAAACATACAGTAAATCCTTCCACTTCACTTCTGAACATGTGACTCCACTTTCTTCAAATCTGAAAAAGAGTGTAATGCTTCATGGGATAAATGCTTATGATTACCTTCCTTTTCAAGGTATCATTAAAATATTTTCTTGTTACTTTATTAGTTGTGTTTGTGAAGTGGTTTTAAAGATTTTGTTTTCCTCTTTTTTTTTTTTTTTTTTACTCTAGTATGAGACAATCTTATATATTTAACCTTGTTTGTTCCTTTCTTTTTTCTCCTTCTTCTTCCTTCTACTCCTCCTTTTTCTCCCATATCCTCCACCAGCCTGTTTTCTCCTCTCCCTCCTCCCTCCTCTCATCTCTCTATTTGCTTTAAGAGGAAAGAATGATGCGTTAGGGACACATCACATTACCTATATAATATTATTTGTTATAGTTTGAATTAAGCATCCATTCTCCAGTATTTCAAAATTCAGTGTGGAATTACTTTGCAAACAATGTCTAAAATATGTATTTTTTTTTTTCAACAAAAGATTCTCTTTTGATTTCACCTGCATCTTCCATTTATTCTTTGATTCCCAAACTGTCATTTCATTTTTTGAGTTAGTTATGTGAACTTTACTGTGTGTCAAAATTTCTTGTACTTCCTGTTGCCATGTTTAAGATGTTTGCTGATGGTAAACCAACATTTAGCCTTTTCTCTCCTCTTTGCTGCATTGAAATGGAGTAGTAAACCTGACAGGTGAGAACTGAACAATAATTACCCTTCAGTTAGCCTGTAAATGGGGTAGCTGAAAAGAGAGAGAAAGGGGAAAAAAAGTTATGATAATAATGATGTAAAACAGAGCGTCTGTCAGTCTTAATGAATATTGACAGTAGTGTATTAATATGAAGGCAGTTGCAAGATCTTTTACATTTTTACAACAGTATATTTGCTAATGCTCTGTTTTGTTTTTTTTTTCTTTTTTGTCTATGTCTGGTGTATTTTAATGAAATAGCACCGTTGCATAATGTACACATGCTTTTATTTGTGTTTTCATTAAATTAAAACAGTGCTTTTATATGTAACAGCAGCTGCTGAATGAATGTGTTATTGTGGTTGAAGTGTGAGTTGTGCTAAAGAACTCCATAGTACTCCTTGTACATAGATTAGGTGCTGATATGCCTATACCAGTGAAAATGGTGCTGTGAGAGAATTTGTCCTTTGATTGGACCTTTTGCCAACTGAAATAATTATTATCTCTTTGTATGATCTGATAAGATACAAAAGATAGAAGTGTCCTAAGTGTGCGGCTGTTGAAAATACTCATGTATTTGATCAGAAAAAATTCTAGTGCTTCTCATGAATGAATTTCTCATTCACGTGAATGAGAAATTGTGCTGCTTAGAACTCACTTGCAAATAGAGGGTTGTCTCTGGAGAGTTCACTGATCCGTAGACTTCAGAAGTAGGAAATAAAGGTAAAAATACTCCTTAAAAATGGAAAACAGCCTTTCTTCATCTTTATTCAAAAAGAAAAAAAAAAGAAAGAAAACATTACAATAAGAAGTTTTTTTTTAAAAAAAAAGGAATTTAGAATGATCATCCTCTGTTTTGTTTTTTTTTTTTTAGGAAATCAGATTTAAAACTGCATTTTTTTATTTAAGAAGTTAACACAAGTGTTAAGGTTTTATATTTTTTTAGCAAGAAAACTTTTTTTTCATAAAGTTATACAACTTTCAAACAATAGATGGCAAGAGTTTCTTCAGCAATATTGCTATTTGGTTGTTTACAGTCTTCTTGTTGGAAGAAATCTTGTTGAATCCACTTTTCCCAGGATGGCAATGGGTGTTCATTATTTCAAGAATAGGGATAAATCAATCAGAGCATTTTTAAGAGTGGAGTCCAGCAGAATAATAACAAATTTAGCATTGCAACATTTTGAGTGAGTCGGAAAACAGAAAGCAAAAATGTAGAGCAGTGATGCATTAGACCAAATGCTGGAAACCTAGAAAAGATTTAGCTACAGAAAACCTTAGAATCATCTAAGTTCTGTTTTCAGAAAAGCAGTTATTTGCTGCTATTTCTATATTCATCTTCTATTTTATGAAGAATTCCAGCCAATTTGCTTTTTCATTCAGAAATTTAGAGGATTAGGGAAGAGGGATTGCACTAGAAATTCACAATTAAATTTCCAGATTCCTGAGTGAAAATGCGAACAATTAGATATTCTTTAAGAAAATCAGTTCTCTATATTTTGCAGCAAAAATAATATCCTCAAGTGACAGGAGTCCATTTTACCCAAACATCCAGATTGAGAACAGCTATGGATGCTACTTCTCTCTAGATAAACGGAATCATAGATGTTTCTTTTTTTCTTTTTTTCCCAGATTGTTTTAGAAAGATTGACAAGAATACTAATATTTCATTGAAAATCCTAACTTGATCAGAAACATTCAGGTAGAATCTCAACCTTGAATAAGTATGTGTGATCACATACATGAGGTCAAATGCAGCTCAATAGAACAGATTCTTACTTCCTAGAACATGAAAGGACCAGATGTCCTCTGTATTTATTCATATTCATTTTGAAAAGGCCAGAAAAATGCAGATTATTTTATAGGCAGTACAGAGATGAAGTATTCAATGATAGTAAATTTTTAATTATATGCTGAAGACGAAGTAACTTTTTAATAAAGGTGCAACAAATTAGGTTTTAAAATAGATGCTGTATGAAATCTTTTGCTTTTAGTGATATGTCTCATAACAGATAATTATTCTGGTGCCCTGGATGATAATCTAGAGAATAGATTTAGGGCAGAGTAGCCTAGACATTTCCCTTTACTATTTCTATATTTAAATTTGTTTTGCCATTGCAAATTGTAGTTGCCCTGCCCACTGTGCAACATTATTTTATCTTTGCATGGATCAGAAACTTTCAGAATGCATCTCATGTTTTATAGTTTAATGATTAAAGACTCACACACTTGTATTTGTCTACTTAACACCTCATTCTTATATACATTTTTCATCTTCTCCATGCAGGAAGAGGGCTGAATCTGATTCTAGAAAAAGCAGCATACCCAACAGCAAGGAAGTCCCTTCTCACCATCCTACAGACCCTGTGGAGCTGCGACGCCTTAATTTTCAAACTCCAGGTGAGAGGTAGTAATATGTTACTGAGAGCTCTGTGTTCACAAACTCTGATTAGTTACACTATTACAAAACCGAATGGTTGTTTAAAATATGTGTACTTGGACTGCTTATAAGTTTTCTTCCTATGTATTTCTCTAATAGGTTTGGAGATTGTTCTTTAATTTCTATATTTAAAGAAAAAGCCTAAATTATACAGTTACTGTTCTGTAGAAAAGATTCACAGGTCATGTATGTTGTGTGGATGTACTGAAATTACAAGGTAAATGTAAGAGCATTAGAAAATTATTAGTAAATTCACATCTATGTGTTTATTAATTACGTGGTTTTATATCATTGTTTGTATATATGTTGGGTTTTTGTTTTGTTTTGTTTTTTTGTAAATAAGCTTCCCTCTTATCTGTTGCATTATCAAGTAATCCATCAATATCCCTTAAATTTTTTTGTACACTGTAAATATAAAATACGGATAAGACAGATTATCTATAGAAATGGTCCTTTCTTTTAAAATCAAGCTATGTTAGGATGAATCAAAAAGTGAAATAACATGACAGTGATTCTGAAAAGTAACACACTCAAGTATTTTATTAGTCAGTTATGCTTCCATTTATTAAACATTGTTTTTCTAAATACTTTTTGGTTTTGTAGTCAAGAAACACAAGAGAAATCCTTAAAATAGTATTTAATTTTTATTAATGTTTTATGAATAGATATTTTGTTTTCAAAATTTCCATAATTTTGATCATGTTGTATTCCAGCAGATTTCTGTTAGCAATATGGTTGCACGCAGTTCTGATTAGTTGCTAATTATTTACAGAATTTTCCTGATGAATTATGTTTGTCAGAACAGTGGAACTGGGACTAAAGACCCAATATCCACTGTGCAATTGTAAGGCAGAGGTAGAAAACTAAGTATTCTGAGGCTTGCCTTAGATTTTCCTTAATTTGTTCCAGTATGGTAAATGTACATGAATGCTCTTTAGCAGCAGAGGCACCTCACTGATCGAAAAAGAAATGGAGAGAGGTATACTTTTCCTTGCAGCACTCTAGTTTATTTGGGAAGCTAGCAGTTTTCTGTGAAGCAGAGCAATTGCAGTGCATTTCTGATAGGAGAACTTTCTTTGCTCTAAATCATTTTTCACAAAATGGAGGATTCAATTACCAGAGAAAAAAAAAAAGAAAAATAAAAGTATATAACATAGAAATCAAATTATATTTTTTTCCTAAGAAACATAGACAGAGATCAAGCCATTATGATATTCTGCATGCAACCAAATAGCAGGATCCTATCTCATGAGATTTATCTTGCTGTGTAGCACTTCGTAATTATCTTGTTCTTAATATGAGATTGTAGCTGCAGTGAAGTCAATCCACAGTTCCTATGCTAGCAGAAACAGACTTTCACTTAATTTGCACTAGGATACAATTCTATTTAAATCTTCCTGAATTTACCTTACAGAAGTTATATATTTCTGGAATGTTTATTCAGCTCCACATACTAAGACTATGAAGTAACATGTAGGACAAATCTTTCCCAAGGCAAATGTGGACAAAATACAGAAAAGTATTAGAACACTAGGTTTGTAGTTTCTGCGTCAGGATTGATGATTTGACTATTACTATTGTTATTATTATCTATTTATTTAACTTTTGGAAGTATCCACATTTTTCTGGAAGCTTTTCAGGTGCACCAGTTGCTTGTAATAAAGAAACCAAAAACAGAAACAGAAAAGTTTATGATAAATCCATGATGTGAAGAAATACGAGGGAAGAGCATATAAATTATGTTATGTGTTGGTGCATTTAGATTGTCAGTTCCCATTGGGAGAAACACTCTCGGGGGGAGAGAATGAGACTTTTAAACAAGCTCTTTTTGAAAATTCTGGAAATCATATTTTTGTTCAAAGAAGAGAAAATCGGATACGACTACCAAAATAATTCAGAAATTAATCCCTTGTTGTGTTAATTTGAAATTCTAACTTCTAGTTAGAAACACAAAATACTCTCATCACAATTAGTTATGCATGGCTATTTGAAAGAAATTATCGGAAAGAAGTATTTTATCTTCAGTGATATCTTCACAGTGATTTTGGCAACACTTATGTTGTACTGGTAATAAAATTGTTACTTCAATATGAAGACATAATAAAAATACACATTATAAACTGCCAACACAGAAAATATCTTGCTTTCTTATCACTTTTTCTCGCCCTGTCAATAAGAAATTACATTCCTCTCTGATCATTTACTTACCTAAGGCTTTTCCTGTCTTACTTAGTCCATGAGGAATAAAATTCATTTCTGGCTTTTCTACACAGTAGGTGGAGCAACTCCACAGAAAACAAAACAAAACAAACAAACAAAAAAAAACCAACCTGACATTTTGTCTTAACATTTGGAATAGCCCACAGTTCTACATCTGAGAACAAGATCCCATGTCCATATGCGTAATCTAAAAAAATGTATATTTTTCAGATAAGTCCATATGCAATTGAGTAAGTCACAGCTGTGCCAAGTTTTCCTTGAATAAACACGAAAATAGTCAATCTCTCAGCTGCACAGGGGATTTCACTTATGAGTCTCTTATTCTTCTGTAACTACAGTAGCTGAGGGAAAGTCACATTCTTTCCATTCTACAAGTTTCCAGAAAATATGGGATTAACATCCATGTGCAAAAATTTCAACTCTTTATGCCACATGGGAGAGTAAAGATAGTTTCATCAGATTCCATCATTCAGTTTCATCAGGGTTCCATCAGATCAGGAAAAGCAGCTTTGTGCAGAGGAGAATAATTGATGTTAAATACTTTGAGTGGGTTATGAGAGACCTAAGGCTTGGGGAAAGAATTCAATCTGCCAATCAGCCAAAGAAATGAATTGATTAGTTCCTGAAAAATGGCTGTTTTTCTTCTCATTTAAGTGCAATATGTGTCACGCTTATAAGTAATTTGCTTAATTGGATGCCAATTAAACAATTATCTCATTATCTCTTATGAGCTAAATAAGATATTTGAAATACAAGAAAAAATAAAATAAAATAATTGCAGCCCCAAATTGAAGATTCTGCTTTTTAATTTGGTAACTAAATGCTCATTAATCTCTTAGTCTTTGAATTCCGTAGGAAAAAATTACAAGTAACAAAAATGGAAAAAGCGAAGTCTGGTTTTAGTCACCTCTTCTAGGAGGAAAGTTCTTTCCCATGACTTTTCGTACACCATTTCTGTTTGTTGTGACAAGATGATAAACTGAAAATAGAACTGATATTTTTTTCTCCATGGCAAAACCAAATGAATATAGCTTCCTCACAGTGAGCTATCCAACATGCTTTTTATACATGTGTGAACTTGTGTCAGATGAAGGATTTAAGCACCTTAAGTGAGATTTAGGTTCAGCATGCAAAAAAGAACCAACTTTTCTGACTTCTCAATTGTTTGCTATCTAACCTAAACGTAATAAAAATCTGCTTTAGCTGGAAGGTGGAGATTAAGATTCTGCTGCTAGCCAAAGTAATTTTTTTCATCTTTGGGTATTAGACAGTGATCTTGCAAGAGTCTAATGAGCCAAGCAATTTCCAGATCAGGGTCTGAGGACTTTTCAGACTATTTTTCACTGTAGAGAGCTTTTATAGCTTACTAAAAGTGGGATGTTCCACTTTGATACCCTAGGGAGTTTGGCAAGTCTAAGTCTGACACACAAGAAGAATTGCTTTTGTTACAGAAAAGCTAAGACACCTTAGAATTATTCTGGAATAAAAGTGGCTTCATTTTGCAGTATTATATGCATGTGTGTAACTATTTTAAAACAGTTATTGCAGAGTAACATATTTCTCCAGAGGTTGTAAGTTTAGTTCTGTATGCAAGATCACTCTGAGTTAACAGAAAATTTAAAGTAATAGTGATTTGTCTAATATAAGAAAGGCATCCTGAATAGATTTTCATGGATATCAAACTCCTACCAAAATCAGGACCATCTTTCATCTTTTCAATTTCCTGTGTCCCAATTTTACATATGTTTTTATTTTTCTGATAATAGAAAGTATCAACCATTACTGATTCCTTCCTCCTTCTATAATGGGACAGCATTTTAATGTAGATTGGTATGTGGGCCTGCATCTTTGTAAATGAATAAAAATGAGTATGTAATAAATGAATATTTAAAATACAAAAGTGATAATTTGATTTAGGTCTTTAATATAATACATTTCAGAAAGAAATATCTCTGAAAATAGTATATCTCATTTTCATTTCATCTGAATAGTGTTCTATATTCTAGCAGATGTTCACTATATTTCCTTTTTTAAATACTTTATTATTTATTGTGGGCATGTCAACATATATGTCCAGATTTATAAGTAAGTTCCACAGATGTTTTTAAAAGCCCTTAGCATAAAACATTGACAATAACACAAAATCCTAATTTAATACCCTATTGTCAAGGCCGAAACGTCCATTTGTTTCAGCCAGGTAAAGAGTTGCACTGTGCAAATATAATGCCTGGATAAAGACTGCAAGTAAATTCTGACCTTACCTTCCCAGCTGTGGCTTAAAATTTTGGCACATATGGTACCGCATGTTTCTTAGTTTTATGTTTACCACAGATTAATCAGAAGATATTTATAAACATTAATTTAAACATACATTTTAATTCTTGTAGTGGGCTACTATACTAGGCTGTGTAAGATCAATTAAAAACAGTTTTCTACCAAGTCTGGAAATAAATGCTCATTACAAATACAATTTCAACTGTATTTTGCATGTTTATTTGTTTTCTTTTTCTCTTAATCTTTTTTTCAGTGTTTCTTTCTCCTAATTTCTTACTTTAAAGAAAGTCTTAAAGCATGAATTTGGCATGGTATTTCTTTTGATTTTATAGCATGTCACAAAACCTGTTGAAATTTAACTGTATTTTGTCTGAAATGCTTTGTGTTTTTTGTAGCACACGTTGATTTATGTGGAGAAGTGTCGGAAAATAAGTGTATTTTCTTATTTTTAGCCACAAAAATAAGTGTGTTTACCTGTGTTTTGGGTGGGGTTTTGAGTCAAGTTGAGTAGGAGCCTTGTGCTTCTACATGAGATCGTAACATGTTCATTCATAACATATTCTATTATGATGCTTCTTATGATTCACGGAGTGATTACATAACAAAAGATTTCTAGCAGTTCTTTTTAAGAAAATAACAATTTTTAGCATCTTGGTAGAGCATACTTCATATAGTATTTGAAGCAAGTTCAAAACTGTTTAAATATAGTAAATCCTGGAGAAAGGGTGTTTATATGTGGTCAAAATTATCAAATTTCAGAAGTGTTAAGTATTTTTGTTTTCTTACAAAGAAGTTTTTACATCGAGTTTCAATTTGCACAAAATGTTTAATATGAGTTCTCCTTTTAGGAATATTAGCTGGCATGTGGAGGAGCACATAAATAAGAACAGTTTAAAAGTACTGAATAATCAGCATCTTTAAAAAATAATAATAATCCTTCACAGAAAACTAATTATTGATATTTTGATGCTGGTGTTTTAGTCAGCTTCATCATGTATACAACAAGTTCATCTCTTTGGTTTTATGTCCTTTATATTTACTATAGGGTAATTGGACCTCTAAACATCTTAGTTGAGTTTCCAGACTCTGTTTTGTGCATGTCTGAAGTGCCTGTATGTACAAGATTGATTGATTATGGTGATCTACTACTGTTACTAATTTGTTTCCCATTTCCAATTGGCTTTTACTTTTTGCAGCTTTGAGCAGTAATTCAGTCCCCTACGCCTCCCTGATTGGCTCTGTGTCCTCCCTCTCTAGCCAAACTACCACTCAGTCCTTATATGATAATAACTCTCTCCCACGATTCGCTCGAAAAGGTCTAAACATCTTTGTCTCTATTATTTTCTCTGTTCAAGCACTGTTTTAGATGTACATCAGTCCACCTCCATTTCTGGATCAATCTAGAGTTCTCTTGTGCCTTTTCACTGACATATTTTCCATAGGGGTGCTTGATCTGGATCAATGAGCTAACTGTTAGATATCTGTCACCCACACTCTTCTGAGAATAAGTGAAATTTCAAAGAAAATGGGAGACAACCTGAACTGATTCAAATGATTCATTATAGGCTGATTTGTTAACTGAAATTTCTAACAATTAGAGATGAATATTCTGTTTTTTTAGTTGACTGGCAAATTGTTTTTATGTCTACTTTAAACACTGTTTCAACATCCCATATGTGCTATGAAGGTAATAAAAAAATATATGTTCATAGAGTCAGATAGGGTCAGTGTTGCTGGACATTATTAGTATTTTGCTTGAAATATCAAAGAAACAAAGAAAAGAAAAGAAGAAGAAAGAAAGAGAGAAAGAGAGAGAGAGAAAGAAAAAAAAGCTATAGTGTGACTGTGTTGTAATCACATGGTCATTTTCAGCTACATTATAGGAAATGCAAGTTAACTGTTTTAGGCATGTTCTTAAAATTCACGGTGACAAAGCAAATGACATTGTGCAACATGGCTTCCAGCTTGAGCCCCCTTGAGTCATCACTGTTTTCCTTTTTTAATTTCAAGAGATTCTGGGGTTCACTAGTTTATTTTTTCTAGCCAGCTCTTATTTTCCACAAGCATTTGAAAACTCTCTTCAATTAAGCATGAAGAGAAGAATGAAACCAGTTGGATGAGGGTCATGGAGGCACACACTGAAACAATGCTGTTCACAAATTTTTCCTGTCAGATCTTCAGCTGGCAGATTATGCTAGTTGGCCCCACATCTCTTCTGTCCTTCTTTTGCCTTGCTGTCCCTGTACTCCCTTCTTCACCCATATCTATCTCTGTTCCCCAGCTCTTAGTTTTATTTTTTATTTAGTATCTTCTTCAGTAGACAAAGATGTTTACACCTGAAGTAGATTGTAGGTACTTTTGGGGGTTGATAAATGGGGTTATAAATAAAGTGTATTTTAAGGTACTAGTGCAGTCAGTATGTGTGTCCAGCTAACCTGTACAACCCCTGCTTCTACAATCTGCTACTAGTGAAAACATTTTTGAAGTTCTGTCTGATGTCTGATTTTGTCTTCAGTGACCGTTGTCTAAAAGCAATGATGCATGCTATTCTAGTCATTTGTATTTGCATGTGAATGTCAGTAACCTCAAAATTTCATAAAATATTTTCAGTATTTTTAATTTAGTCAGAATGCATAGTCAGTTCTCTAGACCTTGATACATCATTATTAATTCTCAAGCTATCCATTTCATTTTACTTACATTAATTTTATGTTAGTTTTTATAAGTTAGTTTTCTGTTGGTTCTAGGTTTCTTTGTTTTGTACCATTTCCTTTGCAGGTTCAGGTGTCTGCGGTTACCTTGGTAACCTTCATCCCTCAAGTTCATTTTTCTTGATTATGCATAAGTCACTTTGCTTTCTGTCAAAATACTACTCTTTCCCCTTTAGGGCTCTTTCAGTGTCTGTTTCCCAGTTCATCTTCCCTCATCTAATTCAATGCAGTTTCCATTTCATATAGTGCAGGAGAAGAAGTTTGAAATGACGTTAAGAGTCATTACTCAAAGCAGAGATCGACATCAGATCTAACTGTTTCATTTTTCCATGCCTAGATAACCTCATTGACTCATCTCACAGTAAATTTTTTCCTTTACACTAGGAATGTTAGCTTTGGAAATATGCTTGGTGACTTCTTTTAATTTGGCTTCAGAGCTCATCTATCCAGAGCATGTTGTGCTTTGAGTAACCAAACTATTTGCCTGCTCCCCTCACTATGACATCTTTACTATTTATACATTTCTAGCCATTATAATTACAACATTGTTTTATTTCTTCAGTGCTGTCATCACTGTAGTTTATTTTAAATTTGGTTCTTCTTTCTTTTCCAACAGGTATGGCCAGTCACCCCCCAATACCTATCTTGGAACTTGCAGATCATATTGAAAGATTGAAAGCAAATGACAATTTGAAGTTCTCACAGGAATATGAGGTAATTTATTTTTTGCTTCTCAAATTATCAAAAATATCATGGTTTGTTTGTTTGTTTGTTTGTTTGTTTGTTTTTTCCTCTAGGCTTATCCCTGATATGTAACCACCATGGTGATGCTATTTTTGGACAATAAAGCCATGGTAAAGTAAGTCTACTGTGTAAGATAACTACATCAGTGAGGTGGCTCCTTTTCTTCTAACAATCTTTTTGTAAAGATATGTGTCGAGCAGATTCTGTCTTCACATACTTGAAGCAGTGTTTGAATGATACAGCACTTTTCATTTTAATGCACCACCATCCATCTACTCTGTAGTTAAAAGTTCCTTGGGTTATTAAAAAATTATCCACTATGTTGTTAAGTGTTAACAGGATCATATAGTCCACAAAGAAGAAATTACAATCCACTATGTTAATTTTTCATGGATTAAAGAATTAGCACTTGCCTGATACATGTGGCTGCTCGACAGTGAGATCCTTTAAATGTGTGATGTATTTAGAGTCGTGATGGGAATTGTTTAAGATGAATACCTATTATTGTAATACAGAAATATAACTGATGATTATTTAATTAAACAGTGATCAGAGTTAGGATTGTTCAGAAAAATAATGTCATTAGATATCAAAAGGTCTGTGTAGTCTCTATAAATAATAGAAATAAGTTATTTTGAAGAGCATCTCAAGGATCTTGTTTATTGTTGCAGTAAAAAATGTGAGAGTGTCTTTTTACATTTCTACATGAAAAAAAATTCTTAAATATAGACAAAGGATCAGACAGGGAAATTTGTGTAATGATGTTCAACGTGAGAAAAAAAAAACAATTAGTATTTAGTATGAATTTGCCAGTCATTTCGTGCTGTACTACAAAATTACTCCTTGGATTAGCTGTGTAGGAAACAAACAATGAATGTCATTACAATTGATACAATGTAGTATAATTTCCTTTGTTTACCTCTTAAATCATAAAAATAATCTTGAGAATGTAATCTTAACCATTTACCACTAGTGTTGCGAAGATGTGCTAAATTGTTGAATACTTGGTATCAATACTGTCAGAACTGTTTACTATATAAACAGCCCATATACATCCTATACTTCATTTTACATTGCTTTTTTACAAAATAAGTCATTTGGGGCAGAATAATCAGACATTAAGGATTAAAATGTGACCAAATATAGGTCAGCATCAAGCTTTGCTTACGTTGGTTTGCCCAAGGAATAGTCAAAAATTACCTTTAAAATCTCAACTTTAGAAATGCCACTTTGTTTCTAACTGGTCCAGAGCTCACCCATTTTAAAACAGAATTGCTGAAATGCTCTGCTATTTGATTTCATGGTCTAGCGTAGGCAGTATTCTAAGGCTGCAGTTTGGTGATCAGCATAGGTCATTTCCCTGTCTTGGCTGTGCATTCCTGTTGTTTCTCTTGTGCCAATACTGGCACAAACACACGTGCAGCTGTTCAAGGATTGTCTCAGGAAATAGATTTAGATGAAAACTAATTGTTTTATTTTTCTTTGCTATTTTCAGTTGGATCAATTCCCTAAGCTAGCTCACCACATGGTTGTGTGAGCTCTAGTGCCAGCACAAGGGAACTGGTGGGAACATTTGTTATTGGGGGTTGGGATCTTGCCTTTCAGCAGCAGTTCTCACTGATGTCTCTTAAGAGTAACTATCAAAGCAAAGATGGGTACAGATGGTAACAGTTCAGTTATTGTCACTTCAGATTATGTTTGAACTGGTAACACAAAATGGAAAAGAGAGATGCTTTGTCTTCTTGAGTTAAAGGCAAAGGTAAAATGTAGCAGGAAACTACTGATTTTTATTGCTTGTAAGAAAATACTACGTTTACTTCTTCTTTGGAGATACAAACATTTTTCATCAGTGGTCACATATGTATATGTGTATGTATATATAACTACCTTTTTCTCCTCACACTCCATTATTTCTATTATTTTTATTATGAAATTTCTTGCACTACATTTATGAAATTCTTATGAAATAGACTGATAGTGGTCAACAGCTGTCATGAAAATTCTGTAATATCATAACATAAAAAAATAAACATACAATTTCCTGATACACATTCACTTTTCAACCACAGCTTCTTTGGCTGGTTCCATTACAAACAAAGCAGTGTTTTAATTTTTTTTTTCTTATCTTACTTTAGTTACTACTTAGAAAGTATTACTTGTCCCATAACCTGTATGCATCTTTTCATGTTATTTGTACACATTGTCTTCTGCAAAAGTATTCCCTCAACACCTGTTCCCAGGTGTTTTTCTTCAAGCTGACCAAAAGCAACCTCTCTCTTCTACTTTGACTACCTCTTTCCCAAAAGGCACCCATCTACATATTGTCTCCTCTCCCAGGCCACCTTTGGAGGCCTAGGTCATGAGAGGAGACAGGACTATTTTCTTAAAACATTCCTAAATTCAACTCACAGATTTTCATTTAACTGATAGAAAGATTTTGAAAAGCTGGGTTTTATCTTCTTTGTTTTTGTTTTTCCTCAACAGTGTTTTTCTTTTGTGAGCAAGAGGATTCATATGTTCCTTTTTGTGTTACTTGAAATCTAGTTGAGAAAGAATGTAAAATGTCCATTAGACAAATGTGAAAATTACACACATCTGCACCTTGGTTTTGAAAGGAATACATGGGGTTAATGTGACAAGTTGGTAAAATATATATTACAGAAAACAAAGTGGCTGTACGTTATAAGATAGTATAGGCTTTTTTTCCTCAAAAAAAAAAAAAAAAAAAAAAAAAGGAAAAAGAAGAGAAAAGAAGAGGAAAAGAATGAAGGAGAGGAGAGGAGAGGAGGAGGAGGAGGAGAGAGGAGGAGAGCGGAAGAGAGGAGGAGAGTAGAATTTCAGAAAATAATGTGGTAAAATAATGTATTATCTAATGTAGACGATTTGACAGTTTTGATGCAATTGATTGAAGGAGTTCATTCTTCTACATGTATTAAGAAACTATTTAATAGTGTCTTCTTCACTCTCCTCCTACCCCAGCTCTTAGAAGGGAAAATAAAGAGAACAGTGTAGATATCCTTGTAATTCTCTCATAACTTTACCTTGAATACCAGCTTTCGTGGTAGGATAGAGGTGAACCCACAAGGTTACAACTATTGCAAAATTTAAATAAACCTATAATTAATCTTTTTAATAAAGTGGTTTTAGCATAGTTAGTTCTTCTCAATAAAGTTCACTTCTACTTATAAGTAAATTTTCTATAATCCTACTTTAGTAAATAACACTTTAGTGTTAACTTGCAATATTCTAGCCTTGGAAAAAAAGTTGGTTTACCTTGTTACCACAACATATCATTTACGTCATATATTTATTTTGTATTCTTTATCTGAAATAGAAGTTTTCTGACTGAAACATATTATTATTAAGCTTCTTCTGGCTCTGGCAGTTTCAGTGGGATTTTAATGCAGTTCAAGGCTCCATATGGAGTTCACAGCTGCTGAGCGGAAAGACATATTCAAGAGACTCACCTTTATATATCATATCTTATTCTTAAGCTTTAGAATTTAAAAATAAAGAGTGGTCATGGAGATAGGACTGAATCAGAATATTAAGATGCTGACTATTTTTATGCAATACGTGTATTAGATTACTAAAGTAATTTCCTCCTGTGACATAGAACAGAAAATCTATTCCTCCAAAGCAGATTCCTGGGTTTTGTGTAGTTTCATACTTGTCATCTGAGATCTGCGGTCATTCATTGCTTTACACCCTTAAGAGATTAGATTCAGAATCATACTTTTTTTTTTTTTTTTTTTTGTGTGTGTGTGTGTGTGTGTGTGAGAGGATCTGTCATAGTAACACAAAGGTTGCAATATTGGCCTTTGCATGCTATTGCATGATTTTTAGAGTATGTCTGTATGTCTGTATGCTGGTTATTTAATAAGATAAGTTGTATATTATCAGTGTTTAACACTGATTATTGGAAAAACTAAAGGTGTATTTTGATTCTGTTGAACGGTGCCATGCTAGTTAGTTTTACTGTCACTTTTCAATATCAGTTGGAAGGATCTCTGATAAGAAAACAATTTACTGAATGTACTACATTTCTTTTTATATCTCAAGCTTCAACAATATAAACCCTGGACACTACTAACACATGGTGTGTTTTCTATGGAAAAAGCAATTATAAGGCTTATTGGTATAAAACACTTTAAAAATCTATGAAGATCAGATAGCCTACTTAATGAATCTGTACCAGAAACAGGTGCACTTAACTTCCATATCATAACAGATAATACTGACTTATAGGCAAAAATGAATTCATTCTCAGGAAAAAAAAAAAAAAAAAAAATTCTGTCTCATCTGTTATTACAGTAGCTTCCTCAGTAGTTTTTGTTTGATTGTTTGTTTGTTTGTTTTTCTAAAATTCAAAACAGCATTTATTGATATTCTACATTCTACATTCTACATACACTAATTGTTTCTATTAGTGTAGTCAATAAACTTTTAACAATTTTTGCCTTTTTATTAATACCACATATGTTGTTGCTTTCACAGAGGTTGAGGCTACAAAATTTCCAGCTACAATAGTCTCTGAGCCAGTAAGGTAGTTAAGAGTGACAATTTTGAAGACATAGTGCAGGAATCTGAAATGGCAGTAGTCAAGATTAATAGTAATGTATTATAATCTTACTTTGTGCTGTGAATGCCTCTTTGGACTAAGACCATTTATTTATGCTTATATAATTAAAAGAATATTCAGATACAAGAAAGCTGATGTTAATATACTGTAATGCTAGATTTTGGACTGATAGCTAATGCTATTTGCCAAGAAATTCCATGGAGATTGTTTTAAAATCCATGTATTATAATAAATTTCAGCTTTATTTTACCCAACCAAAACCACAGGTATATGAAGGAAGAGAAACATAGTCCATTTCAGTAAGAAAAATCATTCAAGAATATAGTATATAGAGATTGTTATATGTAAATCTTAGTTTTATGAGGTTGTTGTTTGTTTTTGTTTTTTT